ATAAAATAAAATTTTAAAAGATCAAAAAATATACATGCAAAGGTATATAGTATATAATAATAAAATAGTCATAATAAAAATTCAAAAAAGAATACCTGTACCCCTATGTTTATTGCAGCACTATTTATAAAGGTAAAACCTGGAAACAACCCAAATGCCCTAAAATAGATGACTGGATCAAGATGTGGGATATATACACAATAGAATATTATTCAGCAATCAAAAAAGATAAACTCATGCCATTCACAGCAATGTGGATGGAGCTAGAAGGAATTATACTCAGTGAAATAAATCAGAAGGAAAAAGAAAAATATCGGATGGTTTCACTTATAGCAGGAATATAGGGGAAGCAAATAAGACATCAGGGGAAAAAATAATAACAATACAAAACACAGCAAAACAAAAACAGACAATTATAAACCAGAGACATACTGTAGGGAAGGAGGAGGGAGAGGGATGAGAGGGAGGGAGGGAGGAGCACAGGGCACTGGGATGATGGTGCACGGGTGCATTGGTGAAGGAAATTCTATGGGGACTACACCTGAGGGGGTGGGGGGAAGCAAACATTGTTTAAAAATGAACAATGATGTAAAATACATAGAAATAAAAAAATAAAATAACATAACATAAAAAGTATTTCTTTTGGGGCCTCCCTGGCAGCGCAAGGGGTTGAGACGCAATCTATGAAGCTATCCGAAGCCTCTGCAGCACGAGTTCAATCCCCGGCCAGCCAGGGAGCTGCCCACATGGCACAGCAGACCTCTCCTGACTCGCCTGCTGCTCCCCTTAGCAGTGTACTTCAGTCAATCTGCCTGCTCTGTTCCTCCCTCTGTCTCTGGTGAATCCTCTCACCCCCTACACATCTGGCCTGTGCCCCAGCTCTTGTATGCATAATTAAATCTTTAAAAAAAAAAGTATTTCTTTTTACTTTTCCAGGCTCTCATCCTGATATCACATGAAGGCCCAATGGTGTCTCCTGAGGCTCCTCTGGCTGAGACGGTCTCGCAGACTTTCCTTCGTTTCGATGGTGTTGACATTTAGGGAAGTACTGCTGAGGTGTGTGGTAGTTTTCCTAGGTTGGAATTTGGGGAAGAGACCACAAACATGAAGTGCCACTCTCAGAAAACTACTCCCTAGTGAAAAAAATACACTTGATCCTAACTGATGATGTTCATCTTCCCCACCTGGCTGAGATTGTGTCTCCCTCTTTCTCCCTGTGAAGTTATTTTCTACGTTCATTTCAACACTGCAGTCTTTGGAAGGAGTCGCTACGTGCAGACCACACTTACAGGGTGTTCTGCTATAAACAGATGTGTGCAGATTTTGTGCAAACATATGTTTTAAAATGGATAAGTACCCAGGAGAGCGATCAGCAGGTTTTAAGGTGAGTCTGTGTTTATCTTTATAAGAAATTGCCAAATATCTTCCATATGCTATTTTACTTTTCTTCCAGCAGTAAATGGGGAGGGGGGGGTCCCTGCTGCTCCACATCTTGGTCCGCACCTGGTGCACAGTATCCCACCTTATCTGAGGTTTCACTTTCCAAGGTTTCAGTTTCCCAGAATCAACCTTCATACACACAAGAGACTTCAATGGGTTCAGAGTAGAGAGGGCTTGGTTGACAGGAGGATGATGTGACTAATTCATTTGTGTATATTCTTAAAACATTTTTGCAAAGTAATTTAGAGAGAGAACACATTCACATAACTTTTATTACAATATATTATTGTGATTGTCCTATTTTATTTATATTATTGTTATTACACTTTTACTGTGCCTAATTTATAAAGGAAACTAGCATATATACTATGGAAAATCTTAGTGCATATAGGGCTCCACGCAAATGGTGGTTCAGGCATCCACTGGATATAAAGCATACTTGGATAAATGGGAACTACTGTACTATTTTGGGGATTTAGACCATCTAATGGGTGTGTATAATGTGCCCTTGTTGCTTTTATTTGCGTTTGCATTTACAAACATCTTTCAACATGTGATGCTGAGTATCTATTCATATGAGCACTTGCCATCAATATAACTTCCTTGGTAACTATTCAGTGTTTTACTCAATTTTTTTTTAAATAATAAATTTTATTTTTATATTCCCCCATACAATTGCAAACGCCCCATTCTGACCCCAATCCCTCCCCTCCCGCCCCCCCACCCCCCAAAAAGTGTCTCTGGTTCATAGTTTTTGTTGATTTTGATTTTCACTTTCTTATATTCATTTTCCTGGTCCCTTATTTAAGTTTTCTAGATTCCTGCTATGAGTGAGACCATCCGGTAGTTTTACTCAATTTTTTAAAAGTTATTTGTTTTTTGTTGTTTGTTGAGTTTTATGGGTTTCATGAACATTCTAAAATTTGTGTTTTATCAGAGATTTGTTTTGCAAATATTTTCTCCCAGTCTTGTGGCCTGGGGTCTTTTACAGACCTAACAGTAACATTAATGTATAGATAGACTTTTCTGGGAAGAGAAATGAGAAGTTGCTGACTGCACTGGGTTCAGAGGAGAGAGGGCTTGGTTGACTGGAGGATGATGTGACTAATTCATTTGTGTATATTCTTAAATATCTTTTGAATCTTGTGTGTACCTGAATAATGAATATTAGTTACTATCAAAATTATTTATTATAAAAATATAAATGAACACAAGGACTTTTATAATTGGAATAGGTCATTATCACAAGACAACAAAAATAATAAATGTGTTAATACCTAATTACAGAGCAGCAAAACAAATGAGGCATAAAATGGAAGAAATGAAAGAGAAATAGAAAAATTAACAATTATATTTAAAAATAAACACTCCTATCTCACAAATAGAGCTAATAAACAAAAAACAAGTAAGAATAAAGACTTAAACCATATCATGAGCCAACTTGGCTTGTATTAAATATAACATTCAACAGAAATAATAGGCAATTTTTCAAGGACACATGGAACATTCACAAAATATAGTCCCTATTCTTGTCCTTCAACGATTATCAATAAATATAAGAGGATTGAAATTATAGGCTATATTCTCTGACCACAATGACATTATATTGCAACTCCATAGCTGGATATACGTGGAAAACCCCCAAATATTTAGAAAATGACTGATATAACTTCAACCACGTATTAATAGTTTTCAAAAGCTAAGAAAATATAATCAAAACTTGTGGGCTGCAGCAAGCACAGTGTCTAAGTCAAATTTATAATATAAAATGGATGAAAAGAAAATATGATGACAACTTAAGCAAATAAATTTAATAACTGATAAGAAGTAGATCAATTTCCTTAAGACACAGATCCCAAAGTGAAAGAAGAAATAGAAATCCTGGGTGAATTAAATATATTAAATTCATAATTTAAAAATATTCCACAAAGAAAACTCCAGGCTCACATGGCTTCACTGGCAAATCTATTGAGCACGTCAGTAAGTATTCCCACCAGCCCTGCCAAACTTTTGGAGAAAATAGAGGTGGAAGAAACACTTTCTTCTGATTCATGAGGCTAGTGGTGCTACACTGATACCAAACCAAAGTCCTCAAAAGGTGACTTCAGACCATTGTCTCTCAGGAATACGTAAGGAAATGTCAGAAAATAAAATCCAACACATTATTAGCAAGTAAGTTTTATCTCAGAACCTAAGTTTGGATGAATATATAGAAATCAATCTACTGTATCATTTTTATAAAATCGAGAATACCCACAGGGTCATCTCCATATAGAAAAAGCATTTTAAAAATTCAACACTTATGCCTGTCAGGACCACATGGGCCTTACTTGCCCCCAGTTCTGGGTTCCTTGATTATCCTTGTCACCCCAGCATAAAGTGAGGGGGAGGTCTGTCTCTGGGAAAGGGGAATCCCCTTAAACACGTCCCCTCCCCTTCATTCTTCCCCTGTCCACCAAATAGTTGAATGACACCACACCTGCAGTCCAGAAGAATGCCTAAAAGTTGAGTAGAGTTTGCCAAACATTTCTAGAGACAACGCCTGTGTGATCACCGCCCAGGTGAAAACAGAGACTCTCCCAGCCCCAGCAGAGCCCCTGGACCCTCCCCTTACAGACCAGCCCTCCCACTCAGGTGCCCACTAAGCTGACCCTTCCCTACAACCACCTTCTCTGCCTTCTCCCCCTCCACTCTTTCAACCTGCATCCCCCAAAGCCCCTATTTCCTCCCTCTCCTCACTCCTCCAGGAGCCCCCCCTCTTCCTAGCCCATGATCCTGAGGGTCACTCCCCTGACCCTCTTCCAGCCCATCCTAGGGTTGAGGGGTTAGTGTTGATTCCCTGGAGAAGGAGCCTCCTCCCTGGAGTCAGCTGCTGGAACAAGTGACAGGGACTCTGGGTCAAGGTGTCATCCCAGGAGACTGAGGGCACCTGGTATGTTTGTGGGGCCCACCCTGGTTCTGGGAGTCAGTCATAACCAGATCTTATCATAGATCTAGGTTCCTTGAAATCAAAGTTTATTCTTATTAAAACGGAAGAACCACTACGTCATATGTATTTTGGGAAACAATTCAGACACTAAAGCTGGCCTTGGTGGGGGCCGCTCCTCTAGTGCACAGTCCTGTCTCACTACTGGGAGCCCAGAAGAACCTGGGAAGGAAGAGGGTCAGAGCCTCTGCCCTCAGGCCTGCGGCCACACGGGGGCGCTGCGCTCCCCCAGCTTCTGCGCAGCCAGGGGAGAGGCTGTGACTAGGCTGCGCGGGCTGACCTGGAGCCTGAGGCTCAGTGCTGATTGGGTTGCCCTGGGCGCAGGCACCTGGGGTGGGCACTGGGCAGGCTTGGAAGAGAGAGCTCTGGAGGCTGCTGTGTGTTTGAGGTGACATCTTTTTTTCCTTAACCTTTCTCTCCAGCCCCTTGATGACAACATCTGGAAACTGCAAAATGGACAATTATTCTACCAATCCCTACTGCTTTCCTGGGGGCTATTTTTTCAAATCACATTTTTATTTTAGAATATTTAAAATATACAAAAAGTCGAAAATTTATTAGAATTCCTATATATTATCCCACACTCAGTTTCTCACTGCCAACATGTCGCTGTCATGTATCTGCACAGCTGGTGAACCAGCATGAACACACGGCAACTGAATTCACACGTCATTCAGATTTCACTCGTTTTTATTTTTTCTGCTCCAGGATCCAGAATTTCCTTCTTCTTGATGACCTGGACATTTTTAAAGAAGTGTTTCTCGGGTGTATTGTAGAATGTCTCACTTTGAGCTTGGTTGAGTGGGATGTGGCTTTAGGGAAGACCACACCTAGGAGCCATTCTCAGTCCCTCACACCAGGGCAGACGATCCACGTGCCTGTCACTCGCAGTGTTCACCTTCCCCACCCACTGAGGGCTGTTTCCCAGCCGCTCCCTGTGAAGTTCTTTGCTCCATCCACACTGTAGTCTTTGAAGGAGTCACTCTGCACAGTCCAGAGGGAAGGGTGATCTGCTGTAAACATTGTGTGCGGGTTTCTCTGCAAATATAGTTTCTCCAGTGAGTTGGGTCATATTTAGTGAGTGATCAGTACATTGCAGGGTAAGTCTCTGTAGGAAACTGTTGACTGTCTTTCCTAATGATGATGTTATTTGTATCCTATCTGGGGTGAGGGTTTCCGTTGCTCATGTCCTGATCTGCACTAGGTATTACAGGCACCAGTTTTTTACTTCCACCAACTCATAGGTATTTGATGGCATGTCATTGCTATCCTCATTTTCAGTTTTCCAGTGACGTAGGATGTTGAGAATCTTTGCAGAAGCTTATTTTCCACTGGCACATCTTCTTTGGTGAAGTGCCTGTTCAAAGTGGCTTATTTTTAATTGAGTTTTTGGTTTTTATTGTTGCGTTTTGAGGAGTCTGTGTAAATTTTAAAACAAATCCCATATCAGATACTTGAATTGCAAATACATCCCCCAAGTTTTGACCCAAACTCTCTTATGGATATAAAATAATACATTAAAGTCTAGTTAGAAGCATAGCTATATCTTCCTGGGAACAGTAAAGGACAATTACTACATGAATGTTTTCCAGGTAGAGGGGTGGCAAGGGACAATGTGACATTGATTTTTCATATTTCTGATCTTTTGAATTCTCTTGTGCACATGAGTATTCACAAAATTACATTGCATTGCAATTCCTACACTTGTTAAACGCTTTCAGATCACGCTCAGACAATATGTTGATACTTAGATTCTGATCCTCTACTCTGGGACCCATCATCTCTGAGCTGAAATATTTACCTTAAAATTTCCATTTCTCCTTTGATGCTGGGTGTGGTGTGATAACATTCATTGAGAAGGTATGTCCCTGTACCCCTAAAACATATACAGTGCTGTAAACCAATGTCACTTTGATACAAGTAATTTAATTAATAAACAAGAATTCCCATTTCTGGAATAGCTAGGCTAATTTATTATGAACAAATATTTCTACTGAAATTAACTAAAGATATACTGTAAATTACAAAGGCATCACCTTCAACCTGACAGAGCTGAAAAGCTGTTAATAAATTGCCTCACCTTATAATGAAGGGGGAGAAGCTGCATGGGCCCCACAGAGAGCAGCGTCCTGAGGAGGGAGGAAGGGCTGGGAGGCCCCACCCAGAGCAGACAAGGAGCCCAGCCCTTCAGCTCTTTGCTGAGCCTGAGGACCACCACCTGCCGTCCTTTTAAAATTTAGAAAGAGCTGCCTTATTCTGATTGTGATGTGTATGCATAATGTATAATTTATATGTATATGTTCACTATAATACAATATGTTACAATAGATAAATGATAAAGAAAACTAATCCACACACTTGTTGCATTTTATCCTGGACTACTGCACATCTTGCTGCTGCCTGAGTATTTCTCTGTCTCTCTTTCTCTCTCTCTCTCTCTCTTAAATGATGAGCACAGAGCCCGGTGGCTTCAGCCTTGCCACCTCCAGATGCCACTGCCCGGTCAGCTCACCCCCACCCCTCCTGAGAGGCCACTTCTCACTCTTATCCTGACTTGATATAAGACACCTCTGTTCAGTCCCTTCAACTCCTCCCCACTCCGCACTCAGAGGTGATGAGTTTATTTCCTTTATTCCTCAGAATCAGAAATGGGTCTCAGGTGAGCACTGCATCATCAGCCCCTGCCACCCCCACATCTCACCTGTACCCTCTGACTTCAAGCAGAGAAGAGGGAGAATCAGGTGGTGCCTGAGGCCGCCCTCAGCTTGGATGCACTTTGCCTGCTGGGGTCCCCATGAAGGGGCATGAGAAGGAAGACACTGAGGTTCCCCACGTCGTGGGCCTTAGCTCACAGGTGCCAGGTGGGCCCTGACTTGGTGTGGGGCTCTGTACTGTGCTCTGTTTTGGAATATCTTTCCCTGAGAAGTGGGGAGGCCTGGCTGCAGGCCAGTGTCTCTGGCTACAGGCCTGTGTGTGTGGCATGTTGAAGTTTTCTCAGTCCTTCTTCCCCTCACTTTTTCTGAAATTTCATTCTCATCTATCTTGGTGTGGTCTGTTGTAGCAAGAATTTGGTTAGGGCAGTGAAAATGTAAAGTTTTATCTGTAAATGCTGGACATTTTCTTGAAATATTTAAGTGCTATGCTGCATTTTTTTGGGAAAATTTTATTAATTTTTTGAAGCCATTGATTGATAGACAAATATCCTACAGCTCTTCCCTCTTGCTCCCCTCAGTCTCCCATCTGCACTCCTGCAGGAGTGTGGCTTTAATCTTTCAATTCATCTATTGAAGTAATCATATCTCTGACATTTTTAATTTCTAAGACCAATTTCTTGTTCTGTGATTGTATATAATTGCATATAATTCCATCTATGATTCATGTCTTACTTAATTTTACATCTCTTAGCTATTACTGACAATAGTGGTAGAGGGTCTGGTAGGTCCTCTGTTCAACTGCTTTCATGAGATCATGAACTCTGACCTCAGAGCACTAGCTCAGTTGTGCTTTACATTTTCCTTTGTCATTTCTGCTAACTGTCCCCTCTTACAGTGACGGTGTCACATCACCAGGGTCTGGCTTTGCTCATCACGTCTGCAGTGTCTAGAGGAACCCCTAATGTACTGGGGAGGGATCGAAAAGATACCCCAGATAATAGGCCGGTTAGTCTCATGGTCCTTCCATGTCCCCCTGAGCTGTGTCCTCATGGCCTCCTGTCATAGAACATTCTGAACTGTGAAGCCGTTCACAGCAGGGGGTGTGGAATCACCCTGAGTGCTTGGTGCACAGGGAACCAAAGGAGGATGAGCCAATAAACTCAGGAGACCCCCGGGTAGAACCCCAGCTCCGCCTCCTCCTCCATCTCTCTGAGCCTCCTTTTCCCATTTGCATAAAGGGGCACATTTGGGTTTCTCATGGGTTTGCTTTGAGGAGTAAGTGTGACCCATGTGTAAAGTGCGTGGCCTTATTCCCTGAAATGCTGTGTTCCGCTGTCAGTTACCAACACTGCAATGAGTATGGCATTTCAATAAGCTCCATTCTTTGCTTTATACATTTCGATTTAAGAAACACCCTTGAACATATATTTTTGGAATAAAATTATCTTATTGTATCCAGAAGAGTAGACTTTGGGACACCTGTCGCCACCAGCACTGATCAGGCCTTCACCACTGCCAGGAGATTATGATGTGCAGCCCCCGGAGCTCCTTATCACCCTCCTGCACACCTGGCCTCAGGCTAGTCTCCCTGTGCTGTGGCTGGTCTTCAGGTAGCACCAGCTCCCGGCAGCCTCCAAACGGGTCCTTGGGCTGGAAAATCAACTCAGAGCAGACAGACCATAAGCAATGTGTGTGCAGTTTTCCTACTATACCAGCTTAGTGTCTCCCCCATCTACTCCCCCTCCCTAGCCCCTATCATTATGACAAATTCAGTAGGATGGTTTTTTTTTAACAAAATATCAAAACTTTTAAGTTGTTGAGACTTTTTGCAAAATTGACCTTTTTCAGTCCCATCAGTCTTTATGCCAGCATGTTTTTGCTGCCCCCTAGTGGATTCTCCTGTCAATAACGTTCTTCATTATTTTATTCCCATCTCCCACATTCTCACATTCCTTTACATTTACCATTAATAAGTCTGACATTTCCATTGATTTTTTTTTACAAATTGTTTTCAATATCATTTAATATTTCTTTTTGATTGGTATATGCTTATTTTAAAATGTTGAATTTAACAAAGCAGGAAGAGCAGCCCCCACACCTGGAACTGGTCTGACACTGAGCTGGGCCCGGGGTTGTCAGGAGCCACCTGGCCCAGAGGCCCGGCCCTGTGGCTCTCCCGGGACAGGAGTCCTCCACAGACCAGCAGAGAAGGATGCTCAGAGGTCACCACATAGTTAGACACAAAAGACCACAACACCATTTTGTATAGCGTAAGAAATACACGGCACTGTCCATGTCACATATAGCAAACACCACCCATTTAGTTAATAAAATGCATATTAAATTTTTGGGACATGTTATATATTTTTATATATTTTTTTATTTTTCATATCACTGTTAATTTTTGAACAATATTTGCTTCCCCCGACCCCCTCAGGTGTAGTCCCCATAGAGTTTCCTTCACCAATGCATCCGTGCACCATCACCTCAGTTGGATAAGCCGAAGACCCATTTAGACAAAGCCATGAAAAAAAAATTGAGAATGAAAATTTCCACATGAAAATAATAAATCCACACATGAGTCACACAGTATCTCTTTGGAGGAGGAGACGGAAAACTAAGAACATTTTAGATGTGAACTGTCCAATATGGTAGCTATTATGATTATTTAAAATTAAATGCAAGAAAACTAAAGCTGTAACCGCTCAGGGAACTAGCAGAGAATGTTCTGCTGGAGACACTGCTTTTCATTTGCTGGGGGCATCAAGTTGACACATTAGACCCAAGTGAGATGAAATCACCAATGTTATTTCTCTCAGACCATGTCAGATTTCTGTCTGGGTCATGAATTCACATCAAGTTTTATATAAAATAAAACCTAATGAGGTCATGAGTGGGTCAGGTACCTCCCGGCCCAAGTGGTTCCCAGTTCCTGAAGGGAATCCATACCCCTCCACCCCCTCCCCACACTGAGGACTCTCTGTGGGGTCAAATTTCCAGGGGGTGAGTTCTTTTCTAGAGGAGGCCAGGGACAAAGCTCTAAACAAACTCTTGGGAGGCAGAGCCCAGGTCAGAGGGAGATTCCCGGAAATGCAGAGGAGACCAAGGTGGGCCCTTTGGGAGATTCGCCGTTTTGTTTTTTTTCTTCAGAACATCAGTTCTCAAAGACTGGTCTATGGAACACTTGAGGTCAATGAGATCCCTTTTCATGGGATTCATGAGATCAAAACTGTTTTCACAGATTACTTAGACATCATTTGTCTTTTTACTATATTGACATTTGCACTCAGGTAAAGCTTAGTAACAATGGAGCTTGTGGTACCAACTCAACTAGTAGCTATTCTTCACTACTTAAAGACAAAAAAGGCAAAGCCCACTCCAGTTTCATCTTAAAATGCCCTGGTTGAACCTTTGAAAATTATCTTTGCTAAATCATCCTCATCGCACATTTAGAAAATATCTCCTGTGATGACCTTCAATGCAACATGAAAGCACTTCTCTTACATCCAAAGCACTGCGTCCCAAGGAAAGTAGGGTCATTTGCTGAACCAGGTTCTGTTTTTTATAATTATCATTTTTACTGGAAGGATGAATGACACAGGATGTATGTTACGTGGACTTGGCTCACTGGCATATACTTTCTTGAAAATAAAAGTGAGCTTCTCTCTCTTCGAGAAAACCAACTGATAGTTAACAAGGGCAGCTCTTATCTGAATGAAATGTGAGGTCTCGGGAGGAAGCCAGAATCACAATGTGTCCGCCCCTGAAAACTCGTCAGCTTGCCAGTGCTGCCAGCCTTTCTGCTGTGTCAGTGGTAACACTGATGATGGGATTTTTCGGACAATAAATATCTTGGGTCGGCCCTGGAAGAGCAGCATAACTTTGTGAACCAAGGTATTATTGTAAAAGATCACACATCAGTGCAAGACCTGCCCAATAAGCAAGACAGGCCAACGGAGTTTAGTGGACAGAACAGGAAATCCAGTGGGTCTGCTCCAGGCTCCACCTCACAAATAACATGGAAAAACTATACTAGTGTGGTCTTAGTATCAGTGTTGAATATCCATAATTTACTGGAAAGGTAATTAAAAGTACCACTGACATTTGTGTGAGACTGTATATATTTTTTCAGACTTTAACCAAAACAACAAATTAAATGTAGAAGCAAATATGAAAATCCAGCAGCCTACTGAGAGAGCAAAGAAACTTGTAAAAATATTAAAAATGTGAAATATGAAAATGATCTTTCTTTCTGTTTCCTGAGCCTGCCCTGGATCTGAAGTCACAGTTCTGGAAACTTACCCATGACCCAGGACTAGGGGGTTCTGCCAGGGACCAGCCTTGGCAAAATGTCGTGTAAGGGGTTCCTGAAAGGATGAGACGGCGTAGGCAAAAACTTAAGGGCTGAGGGGAAGGGGATGAGGTGCAAGCATCTTCTGCCGAGGGACTCAGCAGGTCTTTATTTATTCATTTTTAGTAAGCAGAAAAATTACATCATCATGTGTAAAGCAGAGACAATCAGAGTATTCTATTCCCATGGACTACTGGCTCCTACGGGTCTCAGCTAGACGGTAGCCGTCAAGTTTAATAGATAAAAAACTAAGCCTTACACTAAAACTTATTATTTCAGCTAGACAATTACCTAAGACAGTGGATAGCCGCCAGTGCATCCCTATCTGCTAAAGCCTAAGCATCCAAAGACTCTTCTATTCATATGGCCTTCAGCCGGAGACCAGCTGCTACTCAGCTATCAGAACTTTTTCTACCTAGAAACTTCGTGTTTTTTTTTTTTTAAAGATTTATTTATTTATTTTTAATTTATTTATACAAGCACTGGGTACAGTCAGAAGCGCGGGAGGGTGAGAGAATTCACCAGAGCCAGAGCGGGGAGCAGAGCAGGCAGAAGGACCAAAGCACACTGCTGAGGGGAGCAGTGGGCGGCAGGAGAGGGCTGCGCGCCATGTGGGACCGGAGCAGCCAGGGATCGAACCGGCGCTGCAGAGGCTGCTGGCAGCTTTGCAACCCAGCGCTCAACCGCTGCACCACGGGGGAGGCCCCCTAGAAACTCCTTAACACAGTTAACTTCATTTAAAAACTATCCTAAGAAACTTCTTTTAAAAAAAGGAAACTTCTAAAAAAGCAAAAGAAGGACTTACTATAATTGTTGTGCCGGATTGCTTGTCAGGCATGTTCAATAAATTGTCTCCCATTGTCAAGTGGACCAAATTGTTTAATAACTAATTTCTAAACAGATAAGTTTCTATGACATTTACTTACAGTATGCTTATACGTATAATTTATTGCCTAATGTACTTTCTGATAAATTTTTCTCCTTTTATGACCAAGAACAAAAAATGAAGGGATATTAGATCTTCAGCCCCACGGTGTGAGGCACAAGGAATCTTCAGCCCCACAGTGTGAGGCCCTTTTTCTTAGCTGCTTGCCAGTGTCTTATCTGGCTGGGGCATCAAGGTCCCCTGCAGGGTTCCTTTAGATCTCATGATAATTTTTCCCCAGCCTCACAGGTGATATTCTCTTCCATAGGTGAAAGGTCAGACTGCAGTTAAATGTGTGTGGGGAAAGTGAGCTGAGCCCTTAAGAGAGTGGAGGGAAAATGTGGGAAGCTCACCCATCCGTGTCCCCTCTCCAGCCTCATCACAGGTCTCTGACCCCACCATAGGGTTTGCCTCCCCCACCCCCCAGCCAGCAATGGTACCAAGGTAACCAGTGGCTGAAGCCAAAGTCTGTTACAGGTGGCGCCCCCTGGAGGCCTGTGCTGATGAGGATAGAGAGCCCCAGGGAACATGTGAACAAAGTATCCGTGGAGGTGGAGATTCGGATAGAAACATAAGAAATATAACACTAGCGTTTAGTGTTATAAATTGAGCGTTTGAGCCTTCAGTGTTTGGGATTTTAGTGGTTTTGGGTTTTCAGTGATTTGGGGGTCAGTGATTATTGCACCCACTGCGCTAATCTTCCAGAAGGCTGTTGTGGGCCTCTGAAGGACATGGAGAGGCTTCCAGCAGCCAGCCTCAGAGAGGAAAAGTTCAGAGGCTTCGCAGGAAGCCAGGCAAATGAAACTGCTCCTGGTTTTGCTGCTGTTAAAGCCTGGCAGGGAAGGCGAATACCTAGGGCTGGACGCTTCGCTGAGCTTCAAGAATTTGGGTTATTAGTCTGGTTGTTCAACCACTGCAGCTGCTCTTTTGAGTGTTGCTTGTCTGGTGCTGCGCTGGGGCATCTCAGTAGCTCTGGTGAGCATCTCCTATTGTGTCTTCTGCTGTCTTTATGAGTTGGAACCTGGCCTATAGTTTGTCTGCCAAGAGTTCCAGGTCTGCAGTGTCGGGAAGATGCCATCTTGGGAGTGTTTGTGTTAAGGACTTTACAACACTGGACACTGCTTCAGGTGAGATAAATGGCCATTTTTGGCCTCAGGAACTCTTTGTTTTCCCTCATTTATTGAAGCAGGAAGTTTCCCAAGTCTGCTGCTTAGATTCTGCTACTTTCCCAAGCCTGTTCTTGGGGGAGTCTGCTGCTCTGATTCTGCTGCTTGCTAGAGTGGAGAAGTTGCTGGGTGTCTGCACTGCTTGTC